GTGGCTTCGCAGGGATGACACGGACGACACAAGGGTCTATTGCAGTTATTGTAAAACCACAATAACTGCAAAGCTGAGTGATCTTCGTGCTCATGCAAGTACAAAAAAACACACAAGTGCGTTGGGTGGCTTCCAACAAAAAAATAAAATTGATTTTAGTAGCTTGCCTACAAAAACTTTGGAGCAGGAAGCAGCATTATGTCTATTTGTTGCACAGCACACAGCTATGGCACAAATAGATCATTTGGGCAATCTATGCTCCAGTCATTTTGATAGTGCAACGGCCGGGCGAATTAAGCTCCACCGCACAAAATGCACCGGCATCATAAAAAATGTTTTGGCGCGACATTTTGACGAAGACTTGCGTAGCGATATAGGCGATTCTAAGTTCAGCCTTTTACTTGATGAATCAACGGACATTAGCGTTACAAAAGTTTTAGGTATTTATCTTAATAATTGTTTTTGTTATTTTAATATATTTAATTTAATATATTGCATGTATGTGCAATATTTATTTAGGTTTGGTAATTAAGTATTTTTCCTTACCGCGAGGTGAATTCGTCTCCACATTTTTAAGTCTAGTAAAACTAGAAATTGGTAACGCTACTTGCATTGTTGATAGTGTAAAAAATGTGTTATTGTTACATAAATTAGATATAAAAAATCTAATTGGTATTGGAACAGATAACGCTTCTGTTATGGTTGGCACAAACAAGAGTGTCTACACAGAATTGAAGAAGGAGGCTCCACAGCTAATTTTGGTGAAATGTGTTTGTCATTCTGTGCAACTTGCCGTTAGCCAAGTCTGTAGAAAACATTTGCCTGAGAAATTGGAGTTTCTAATTTATGAAACCTATAATTGGTTTTGCAAAAGTTCAATTCGGCAATTGGAGTATAATAAAATTTATAAATGTATTAATGATGATAAGGTTTGTGTGAAAATTTGCTCATATCTCTGTTATATGTCCTTGAATTTGTGTTTAACTTATCTACTTAAATGTGAGTATTTTATTTTTAATGTGCCGGTTTGAATTTCGATTATTAACATCGTTATTGTACTTTTTTATTTTTCAATATTTTTGTTTTTTGTGTCTCGTTTCGTTGTTGTCAACAGAGTGTTTTCTCAAACGTTTCAGTTTATTTTTATTTGAACGTTCAATTTTTTTTTATATTTTCCAAGGCTCCATTGAAAATACCTAAAGTGAGCGACACCCGGTGGCTATCCATTGAGTTGGCTGTCTCAYGCATTTTGGCGCAATGGGACGAACTTAAATTGCATTTTCAATTGGCAGCGACAAAAGAAAAATGCTTTAAATCACAAATTCTTTATGAATTGTATAATGACCAAATAAATCAATTATATTTAATTTTTTTAAACCCAATTCTGTCGGACATGCAGAAAGTTAATAAGTGCTTTCAAAGCAATAAAGCAAATGCCACAGAATTGCTAAACGATTTAATGTTTGCAATTAAGTCGCTGCAAAATTTAATTATTCCACCTAACAAGGAAATTGATGTTTTGGAAACTGACAGCTTTGAAGAACACGCAAAATCCGATATGTATCACGCAATCCGATATGACTTTGAAAAGAAAATCAAATCCTTGAATATCGATGCAGGCCTTGAAAAAGAAATTCGTGCTCGCTGCTCTTATTTTGTAATTGAACTTATCAAGCAGCTAAAGCAGAGGTAACCAATTTGTCAGATTCTTCTACCGACCTTTAAATAATTTTGATTTTATTTTCAGGCTCCCCGACAATTTTCGAATTTTGAAAAACATTAACGTTTTTTCCGTTGACCAAATTCTGTCAACTAAAAAAAAAGGAATTACAGAACTTTTAGAACACCTCCAAGTAGACAAAATAGCAGACATTGAGCGTCAGTACAATGATATAAATCTTATTAAGTGGGAAAACGTCAATGACAGCACAAAATTTTGGAATGAGGTCTCTCAGTACAAGGATTCTGGTGGCAACCGCAGATTCCTTGACTTGGCAGCTGTTGCCCTGCAAATGTTGTCTTTGCCATGGTCCAACGCGGATGTTGAACGCCTATTTAGCCAGCTTAACTTGGTAAAGTCCAAGTTAAGGAATTCAATGAGCCTAAGCACGATAAACAGTATTCTTAGCATAAGGTAATATTTTTTGAGAGTGAATAGATGATTATGATTAATATATTACTTTTTTATTTAATATAACACACAGATATGGTTTGCAAAGACTAGGCAAATGCTGCTATGACTATAAAGTCCCTCCGAATTATCTGCGCATGATAGGTACTAACCTGTCATACGATTCCGAAACCGATGCTAGTCGCGAAGAACTAGATAACATTCTAAAAATCTTATAAATTTCAAAATAAAATAATCAAAAAATGTAATAAAATAATCAAACCATAAAAGCCGCTTTTTTTAACGCTTTTTTGCGAAAATTTTCAGCTTTTTTT